CTAGTGTGTGTGAAGGGGTGTCTCATTGTGGTTTTGTTTGCATTTCCCTGATGGTTAATGGTGTTTAATATATTTTCATGTGCTTATTAGCCATTTGTATACCTCTTTAGGAAATATCTATTCAGCTGAGCATGGTGGCTCAAGCCTGTGATCCCAGCACTTTGGGAGGAGGATCATTTGGCAGGAGGATTATTTGAGCCCAGGAGTTTGGGCAACATAGTGAGACTTTGTCTCTACCAAAAAAAATTTGCTTAAAATCAGCCAGATTTTTTTGTTTAAAATTAACCAGAGCTGGGTGTGGTGGCTCATGTCTGTGATCCCAGCAATTTGGGAGGCTGAGGGAAGAGGATCGCTTGAGCCCAGGAGTTCAAGACCAGCTTAGGCAACATAGACTTCATCTCTACAAAAAATTAAAAAATAAAATTAGCCAGGCATGGTGACACACACTTGTAGTTGCAGCTACTTGGGAGGCTAAGGCAGAAGGGTTTCCTGAGCCCAGAGGTGGAGGCTGCAGTGAGCCATGAACAGGCCACTACAACCCACTTGGGCAATAGAGTGACACCCTGATAGGAGAAAGAAAGGGAGGAAGGAAGGAGGAAGGAAGAAGGGAGGGAGGGAGAAGGAAGAAAAGAAGGGAAGGAGGGAGGAAGGAAAAAGAAAGAAAAGAAAAAAGAAATATCTATTGAGATTGCTTCCCCTTTTAAAATTGAGTTGTTATTTTAGCGGGGCCTTCACCTTTTTGACATCATTGTTAGGATCTGCTTGTGAACTGGTGAAAGAGAGAGGTCAGGATGAATAAACTGGATTCTCTCCCGTCTCACCCCGTCTACCTGGATGGAGATGGTCTGTACCCAGAAGGGTCTGCTTCATAGAAAGGTCATCCCCCATTGTGAGTGGGGTGTACTATGGCTTTCAGGAAAATGATCTGGACTTGCCAACCCTAACTGTTTGAAGCCAGGTTTCATGCTTTATGCTCCCAAAGATTCCAGAACTCCTCCCAGGAAGCAGCTGGACTTCTTCCCCCACCCCTAGCCTGTCCCCCTGTCTGTCTAGTTTTTGTAGGCACCTGAGACTCTGTTCACCAGTCCACAGGCTGTTTCTTTGCCCGCAGATTCTGTTCTTACCTGGAAGTCTGTACTAAGGGTGAGTGAGACTCAGGAGAAGAAGAGGCAGAGGGTGGAAGGGAAGGGAGCAGGGGAAAGAAGATAGCTGGGAACCAGGAGAAGACTGGTCAGGAACCAAAACACAGAGACCTGAGAGTGGCAGTGGAGAGGGTGTTGCCCTTTGAAGCCTCTTGACCCAAGTCCCTGCTAATGCCATTCTCATGTGCTTAGGCGGGGGGGAATCCCAGGTGGGAGTACATCAGGCCAGGCCCCTCCAAGAGGGCATCTACCCCGCCTTCCGTTATTGGTGTGGTCTAGCCTCAAGGTGACATGCAGAAGGACTGGAGGAGAGAGGCTGGGTTTGGCCAGATATAAGGGGACATACAGATATAAAGAACTTCCAACTTGACATGAAAACATCCTTCACCAAATTTGTCTGCCTAAAACTTTCTCATCACATCACCTCTCGAGCTTCACCAGCCCAGTCCCTGCTGGAGGAGGGGTGAGACGGGAGTCAATCTGAGCTGGGAAGCTGTTTCCACAAGGACTCTTTAGAGGAGCATAGCAGAGGTCACCAGAAGTCCCTGGAAGAAGCCAGCATCCATCTCCTTGGGCCTGGCCCACCCCCTGGTGCTGTCTGACTGCTCCAGAGCCAGGAATCATGAGGTCCTCAGACAGACCTCCTCCCTACTCACAAAACCGAGACTCTGAACTGGAGAGGTGGATATTTCAGAGACATGAAAGTTGGGGGTGGAGCGTGGGAGGTGGCTCCTTCAGGGAAAATGTCTGGCCCTTCCTGAAAACAGGGTTTTATGGTTGCAGGCTTCAGAAGGAAGATCTGCTTTGAGTTCAAATTACTACTAATAATCATAGTGTGAGTACTGCCCTAGTGTTTTAGAAGCACTCGTTACAGCCTCCGCCTCCTTTGATTCTCACAGCAGATTCTCATTTTAAAATTTTCATTTGATCACTTATTCTCACAAAAAACCGTATGAGGTTACTTATTTCATGGGTAAGAAAGCTGAGTCTTGGCAAGTTTAATTACATTTCTGAGGGTCACAAAGCTAGTAAGAACAGGGATTCAAACACTGACGGTGGGCAGAAGGCAAGATTGGTTAATCTCTGGACCCTCCACCGCCCCTCTTCTCTGTGGTTTCAATGCACGGGCCATTGAGGAAAGGAGAAATTTTGGGGACAAGAGAAATTCTAATCACACTCTAGTACTGAGAGTCAGCCAATCAAGCTGCCCAAGTGTCTGCTTACTCTTCCTTTCACCCCACAGGACTGTTCTGAAAGGATGACGTCACTCAAGATGTGAGGACCCAGATAGAGCACAAGCCTAGGCTCCACACCCCAGAGGCCTGTCTGAGGGATGGGCAGGCATCCTTTCTCACCAAAGCCATGGGGTGAGGTATGCAGGGCCTGTGGTTGGTCCACATTGCACATAACTGTAGACAGAGGAGCTGGGAGGGGCATAAGTATCAGGACTGCAGGTAGGAGAGGTCAGGAGTCCAGTGAATGGAATAATTAAAGCTCCTGTCTGACTTCCACCAGAAGGAATCTATGATCTATTAGTGATGTCTGCAAAGAGAAGGGGCTGGAAAGTATGGATCCTATATGTTATCCCTGGCTTAATCTTTTTTCCTAGGGGCAAGCACAGGGAAAAACTTGGACTCTTGTTCCCTAGGGTGAGGTTCCCTCAGGGATTTTGAAATCTTTCATTTGAGCTCCATCTCTTTCCCTCTGGACCTAAGACTATTTTTTCTTCACCTTTGACTCCTGAATTACCTCCCCCCTCCCCCAAAGCCCTGTGACCAGGTTGAACAGAGAACAATGTTTTCTGTATGTATGTATGTATTTAGTGGGGCGGGGGGAGATTTAACCTTTACTTTTTTTAAGAACCAAACCACAAGAAAATTGTGACCGAAAAAATAATCTGGTTTTGAAATGTAAAATAAGTCTTTCCAGAACCAGAGAGGATTTTAGCAAGCTGGAAATAATATATACAAATAAAATGAAAAATACTTGGAAAATTATTTTTAAAAACCCCAAACCACTAGGAAAATATATCACAGCCTGGATACAGCAAACAGGCAGGTTCTAGGATCATTTCAAGTAATAAGTTGGTAAGGAGACAATGATAAGGTGCCATGCCAGGCATATTGCAATATGCAACACGTTTGCATGTTGTAAAGACTCCAGGCAAAAATGGTATTTGGTAATAGGGGGACTACCCCTCTTTTTTTTTTGAGTTGGGTTCTCACTCTGTCACCCGGACTGGAGTGCAGTGGCCACTCCGGTCACCGCAGCCTTGACCTGCTGGGCTCCGGTGATCCTTCTGCCTCAGTCTTCCAAGTAACTGGAACTACAGGTGCGTGCTACCACACCCGGCTAATTTTTTTGATTTATTGTAGAGATGAGGTCTCACCAAGTTGCCCAGGCAGGTCTCGAACCCGCAGGCTCAGGCAATCCACTCACATCAGCCTTTCAAGGTGCGGGATTACGGGCTGAGCCACCGAGCCCAGCTCGACTGCCCCTCTTTTGCTCTAAGGGAGTCACAGCTTGTCCTAGTCCAAATTGTTTACTTTTTCTCTCTTGAATCTCCCATTGTTGGGCAATTGTCTCAATACGGTTGTGTTAATTCAGGAGGCTGAGTTAGCCAAGCTGGGTTCAGGCTTTCATTCCATTTTGTTTGATAAAAACCAGTTTTTTAAAAAATCCAGCACTTCACAACTCTCTAATGATTAAGTAGCCAAGAGTTCCTCTTTTACTGTTCATTCCCAGATACGGATCTACCTCACAATCAAAATGCCCTTTCTCTTCAATGGGGCAGTGGTTACCGCAAGACTGTCCTGTAACTCTGCTACAGACAGCCTCAGGACCCACTGGCCGGTAAGAGGAAAGCCCTGCATCCCATTGTCACTGTGATATCGCCTCTCATGTTTTCGCATGGTCTCTAAGCAGAAAGATGTTGTGCATGATAATTTTAAGAAATTCACATTTACACCTGAAGGCCAGAAAAGGATATCCACAAGGAACCTTTCAAAGTTCTTAGCCAAACTTCTCTTCCTCCCAGCTCCTCATCTGAAATCAACTTCGTGCCCTTGTAAAAATCAAACCAAACAAACCAAAGACCCAGAAACCCTCTCCCCCTTCTAAATTAGTGACCCCATGGATTTGCTTTTACAGCATATGGAAGATGGTGTAGTGACACTACTGGTAAACAGCTTGTCAACAAACAGAAACACCTGGAACTCCATTAGATCATAGGCAGGTTAGAGGAACCTGCCAGCCTGTTGGTACCTGTGTAGTAAGAAGAATTTGGTACCTTGGAGGGCTCTGGCTTGTACAAGGGAGATCCCTACCGCCAGGACAAGCACTTGCCACATGAGATACGGGTTCCAGATACTCTCCTGTAGATCTCTAACCCAAATTTTTGTGCCAATTTTTTCCATTTCACTTTTTATGACAGAAACATAAAGGAACCAGTGTCCAGAGGATCCTTCAGTTTGTTGCCATCCTTAATTTTTCATTCATAAAACTCTGCTTTAAAAGACAACAATTTCGGCCGGGCGTGGTGGCTCAAGCCTGTAATCCCAGCACTTTGGGAGGCCGAGACAAGAGGATTTCCTGAGCTCAGGGGTTCGAGACCAGTCTGAAAAACCTGGTGAGACTTCATCTCTACAATAAATGAAAATAAAATAAGCCAGGCGTGGTAGCACACACCTGTAGTTTCAGCTCCTTGGAAGACTGAGGCAGAAGGATTGCCTGAGCCCAGCAGGTCGAGGCTGTGAGCATGTTACTGCACTCCAGCCTGGGTGACAGAGTGATACTCCAACTCAAAAAAAAAGAAAGAAAATAAAAGTTAAAAAAAATGAAAGACAACAATTTCCATTCCTTCTAAAAATTAGATTCTTGCCCTCAGCCCCAATGGCAACTGGCCAAGGCTCTTATTTCCCAATGGATGAGAAAGACTCCTACATCCTCTTGGTCATAGTCGGGATGAGGTGCAAGTGGTCATCCACACACTTGGCCACACAACTGTCTAGCTGCTGCTTCACCTGAAGCTGCTTGTTCCCTGCATCTATAGAATCTTTGGCTTTGTCGTTGCAATGCATGGTGCACCGGGCTAGGTGGTCCTGGAACTTTTCCAGTTCATTGGTCACCAAGGCCTGCTCTTGGGCTAGAGGCGCATGACAGCACTCAAAGCACCGGTGCACCTGCTCCATGGGCTCCTGGTTTTCGTCACAACTGCTGGCGCTGCCCCGTAACATAAGACCCTGCATCTTCTGGATGTTCTGTCTCTTCAGACTCTTCACCATGGTGTCCACTGCCTTCTGCAACCAGAGCTGCGGCAGCTCCATCATGGCAACCCTGCACTACCCAGCACCGTGCCACACCAGTGTCCACATGGGAGCAGTGCTTTAACTCTGAAGTGGTTTCAGAGGACCTGAACCACCAGGTGACCAACCACATCAAGGCCCTACTGCATGAGGACCTGACCTTGTTCAAGAAGGCTAAGCCCAGCAAGGGCTTATTTCAAGATGGAGGGAGAGTCAAGGAGGGAATATACGTTGGCTGACGGAGGATATTCTTGTGGAGGGCCTTCTGGAAACATGAGTCTGCTGTACGGGAAGGAACAAGCTTTCCACACAGACAGAGCCAGACCAATCCTGGCTCTGCTGTTTCCCAGCTGTGACCTTGGGACACATTACTTAAGTGCTACAAGCCCTCTTTCAACATCAGTGAAATAGTAATAAGGCCAACCTTCCCCGGCTGCTGTGAGAAAGAGTGTAAGAAAAATGCCTGTCAGTGGTTCAGGATTGAAGGAAAATCCTTCATTTCTCCACAGGAGGGCGCCCCCAGTTTGTCTGTCTCTCACAGGCACCCTTTCATAGATTTCAGCAATTGATGGATGCTGGGGCTGGGGCTTCCAATGGCCTCCCGTCCTTTAAGATTAATCATAGTCACAGAACGTGAAGGGACTGTAGAAATCTGCTTCAAAGGGTTTCCAACATTTTAGAAAACATATGGGCTCTCTATTTTTCTAGGAGAATCTTGAGTATGACATGACCCCAATCCCCATCTCACCCATCCTTACACACACACACACACACACACACACACACACACACACACAATACATATTATATATATTATACTGTATGACACATATATATGCATATGTGCGCACGCGCGCACGCATGTGCGTGTGTGTGTGTGTGTGTGTGTGTGTGTGTGTGTGTGTGTGTGTGTGGAGAGAGATAGAGAGAGAGAGAGACTGTCGCATTCAGCTCCCACCCCCTTACTCATCTCTGTGATGTTGAGTAAGTCACCCGGGTCAGGCTCTCAGACATTTCCTTGGGACCCCTGAGCCCTTTGGAGCCCAGACAGAAAACTACCCATCTAGTACCTCCGTCATCTTTAGAGATGAGAAATTAGATCCAGGCTGGGCAATTGTGGGGCCAGGACTAGCCTCTGGTCTCCTGATTTCCAGCCTTCCCCCTGCAAAGCCCCCACCATTCCTCTCAAGGACCCCAGTAGAGGTTGGCCTGCCATACGTCAGGCTCCTCACATCAAGGAAGGCCTACAGAGGTAGTGACAAGGAGGCAGCCAGGGGAAGATCTGGAGGAAGAGACCTTTAAAAAGAGGCAAAGAGACTTTCAAATTTAGTTGCTGCTAGGTGAGATTCCTGGGCACATTAAAGGAACAGACAGAGAAGCTGTGGTAGCAGATGAGCTTGGAGAATAGGCCCAGGACTACCTGGGCTTGTAGTCCATAGACGGAGTCAGATTTGATTAAAAATGCAGTGAGAAAAGCATTGCGGGATTTTTAAGGAAAGAAATAGGACAGGATGATAAACATTTTATAAAGATTCATGGATGCTGCTAGATAGTAGATTTTGAAACAGACGAGAGAGGGAAGAAATAGGTTAGACCTGTTTGGAGCTATAGTGCTTTCAGGTGGGATCTGAGGGTACCTTGAACTAAGATCTGGCAGCGTAGCTGGAAAACTAACTGGATTCTATCCAGAACAACCTGTATCTAAAAGGTGCTCCAGCCTCTCACCCCCCTCAAAGAAACTGGCCCCCATCCCTGTCACCATGGCAGCAGGCTCCTTAGCTCGGATTGGCTGCTGGCCACATCATTAGTCTTGTGACTGACCCCATGATGGGGACTGGTTGCCATGGTTCTGTCAAGTATGCAGACAAAGAGTTGCCATTCTTCTCCAGGCTCAGGGGACTTGACCAGTCCCTAATCTGTCTAATGAAAAATCCTGGGTAGGAGATGGGATAGAGATGAGGGCCCGAGTCACTTGCCTCCATGCTTGTTCAGAATGAGATTTGTTCTGTTTTTGGTGAGGGAGGCGAGGAGAGGAGTGGCAGCCCCTGCCTTGGTGCATTGATTGAAAAATCTCTTGCTTCTTCACATTTTAAGACTTCTCTGAGTCATTACCTACTCTGAGTTACAACTCTGTAGCTGATTAAGGCCTCATGGGAAGACTCCCAGCCCCCACACTTTCCCTAATACTCTCAAGAAAGGTAATTTCAGACTGAGGCAAATCTGGATTATTAACATCAATTTTCAAGAAAACTCTTTTTTATTATTATAGATATGTGGCATAAAAGTCAGAATTCATTACACAAGAAGGCTTCATGCAGTGGAGTTTGGATCTCTAACCGGCCCGAAATTTCCCCTGGTTTAGGTCCAAGAAAATTATTTCTATAGATTTGTCTGGAGTCAGGATGTGTGGGGTTTGAGCCTGGCTAGAGCCTGAGGTGAGAGAGGTGGGAGCTGAGCACAGGAAGCTTGGGGTATGGGGTGTAGAGAGCTAGTCCCTAGTTGCCCCAAAGCCTGGTTTGGGGTGCCTTTTCTCCCCACCCAAGATCATTTCTAAAGAGGGCAAAAGTCAAGGTGGAGTCACAACTGGCAAGGCTTCCGCCCCCATGCATTCTCAGCTGGATCTTACTGGTCTTCCTTCCTCTTGTGGAAGGAAATACTTCTCTCTGGACCCCAGGTCAGGTAGGCCTAGGACCCTGCTGCCTTCTGAGGTCCATGGTACCCTCTCAGCATTAGGGGCTCCTACAGGGCAGACATACCAGCTCCACCTCAAGAATCCACAAGGAGAATTCTGCAGCCAAAGGCTATGTACATCTAACATTTGGTACCTACAGTTAGCTTGCCCCTGGGCCTCTAGTCACCAGCTTCAACCCAACAAACTTTAGCAGGGTATAGACTTCTTTGAGTTTATTAAGCATTCACTAACTTCCTGAATCTGTAGGTTTATGTCTTTTGATGCATTCAGGAAGTTTTCAGCCGTAATTTCTTCAAATATTTTTGTGTACTACACTCTCTCTCTCTCATTCTGGAATTCCAGTGACATGAATGTTAGACTTTTGGTATTGTCTCAAAGGTCTCTGAGGTTCTGTTAACTTTTTTCCCCATGTTTTTCCTTTTTGTTGTTCTGATTGGATCATTTCTATTGGCCCATCTTCAAGTTAGCTGACTCTTTCTTCTGTCATTCCTATCCTGCTTTGAGTTTATCCAGTGAGTTTTTATTTTGGCTATTGCATTTTTTCATTTCTCAAATGGCATATTAAAGGAACAAATAGAACAGCCAGTGATAGGAGATGGGATGGAGAAGTAAGCCCACAACTGACTATACAGAGTCTTGCAGGTTATAGTAGAGGGTCTAGATCTTGTGCAAAATAGAGACAAAAATCACCGGGGATTTTAAGGAAGGGAATAGAATGATGGAATGTACAATTTTGAAAGACTACCCTAGCATTGTTTGAGAATGTATTGACAGGGAAAGAGTGGAACCAATGGACTTCTTAGAAAGTGCTGTCTTGGTCCAGGGAAGATTGTGGTGGCTTGGACTAGGCAATCACAGTAGAGCCAAGCACTTTTGGCTGGCCATGTGTTTCCCCAGAAGCAGCTTGAATCTCAGGGGGCTTCAGATCCTCATGCTTCCAGGGAAACTGCGTCTGACTCCCGTCACCATGGCAGCTGTGCTTCTTCTACCTGGATTGGTTGCTGTGGTGACATCATCAGCCCTGAGTAACTGATCCTCACAATGAGAACTGGTTTCCATGGTGCTACTAAGTAGGCAAACAAAGATCTGCCATTCTTCTTCAGGCTCAGGGTCCCTGACTAGCTCTGTACCTAAGGGAAAAATCGGAGGCAGAAAAGATCACGACACAAGTCAAGGGGAGGCTAGCTGTCAGCTGGTTGCTGAGTCACTATGACCCAAGACATGCCCCAATCAAGACGACTGTTAAAGACTATTGTATATCAGGGTGGGAGGGTCTATATTGCAGAGAGGGAGGCCCCAGGACATGTGCACACAAATTCCAAATCCCATTTTCCTCCCATTTTAGAGATTCTTTGAACTATTTCCTTCTCTGAGCAAATCTTTATAGCAGATGGAGGCTTTCCTACTCCCCTGCCCCATTGTCCTCCAGAGAGACAGTTCTAGAACAACTTGCTACTGGATTTTTCAAGTGCGTTTTGTGAAAGTTATTTATACAGGCTCATCTGGAGGCAGAAAAGTGGGCCCCAGCCAGAACCTCTGAAGTAAAATATGTAAGGCCAGAACAGAGGGGACATTTGGGGCGAGGATGTGGAATAACACAGCTCCTTGGTACAGATAGATCCCAGGTGTGTCTGATCTCTTTCTCCTTCTAGACATCATTCATAACATGAATGCAAGGCAGGGTTGGACCACAGTTGAATCGCAGTCTTTCTTCACCCACTACCCCCAGCCACACTTCATGGTAGTACTTTTTTCTTCTTGGGGAAGAAATTTCCTCCCTGGGAACCCCTGAGACCCTGCTCAGCTTCAGCATTAGGATCTCCTCAAATGAATAGCAAAAAGAAGGGTGGCATAAATGCTTATGGCATTAATCATTTTGGTAGCCATTCCCTGGTAGTCTAAAATCTTAAAATGGAGAGAAGAACACACTCACCTTTGCTCAGCCCACTCAAAGACTAACATTTTCCTTTTTCTTGGAGAATTATACTTCCCAAAGCAGGTTCACACTCATTTGCTCTTAGGCCTCAAATTATTTCTGCAAATTATTTTCAAATAGTATGTCCAGTGCATAACCAGTGATAATCAGATAAACTGCCAGCTTATCTGACAGCTTGTGTCAGAACTTCCTACCAACATTGAATATAACTCTAGACAAAATATAAAAATAACCATATGAAAGCATGGAGACCAACTAAGAGTAAGAAATCTAGAGGGATTATAACCCTTGAAAAAAGGGAAGCCCACCAAGTGAGTTCTACATTTACAGGCTTTTCCAATAAAAGTACTTCACAGTTCACTGCAGTACATATGGATATGGAGCTCAGTCAGAAAGTGGCATTC